CTTGAAATGGTTGAACATCAACCATTTCCTTTTGGTACAGTGACTGTGTATTCTTTCCATCTTCTTCATCATTCAATAATTTGCCCAGAGAATCCTTCAATAATGAAAGTCAAGGCTTGAATTTTCTCTTCAGTTCCCTCAGCCTAAGAAATGATGAGCGTGTTCTTTCCTTTGGTTTTCTGACTCCAGAGTTTTGCACATTTTGTTGTAATATTTGACTTTTTCTTCTTGAGCTGACCTTTGATATTTTCTGTTCAGCTCTTGTATCTCCTCATTTCTACCATTTGTTAGCATGTCTACACTGGATAGTGAGTTTCAGTGTCTCTTCTGACATTCATTTTGATCACTTCCTTCTTTCTTGTCTTCTTAATGACTTATTGCTCTTTTCCTGTATGATGTTCTTGATGTCATCCCACAACTCTTCTGGTCTTCAGTCTTTAATGGTTAATGTATCAAATCTGTTCTTCCGATGATCTCTAAATTCAGGTGGAATATATTTAAGGTCATATTTTGGTTCTCATGGACTTGTTTTCATTTTCTTTAGCTTCAGTTTGAATTTGCTTATGAGCAACTGACGGTCTGTTCCACAATCTGCCCCTGCTCTTATTTTTGACTGATGATATAGAGCTTTTCCATTGTTTCTTTCTGCAGATATAGTCTATTTGATTTCTGTGTATTCTATCTGGTGAGTTCCATGTGTATAATTGTCTCTTATGCTGTCTAAAGAAGGTATTTGATTTTGATTTTGTAGAATTCTATCATGCAATCTCCAGCATCATTTCTATCACTAAGTCCTTATTTTCCAACTGCTAATCCTTTCTCTTTGTTCCCAACCTTTGCATTCCAATCATCAGTAATGATCAATACATCTTGATTGCATATTTGATCAATTTCAGATTGAAGAAGTTGGTAGAATTCTTCTATTTCATCCTCACCGGCTTTAGTGGTGGGTGTATAAATTTGAATAATAGTGGTATTAACTGTTCTTTCCTGTAGGTGCATGGATATTATCCTATTACAGACAGCCTTGTACCTCATGACTGATCTGGATATGTTTTTTTTGACAATGAATGCAACACCATTCCTCTTCAATTTGTCATTCCCAGCATAGTAAACCATGTGGTTGTCAGATTCAAAATGGCCAATGCCAGTCCGTTTCAGATCACTAATGCCTAAGATTTTGATGTTTATGCATTCCATTTCGTTTTTGATAATTTCCAATTTTCATAGATTCATACTTCATACAATTCATGTTCCAATTATTAATGGGTGTTTACAGCTGTTTCTCTTCATTTTGAGTTGTGCCTCTTCAGCAAACGGAGGTCCCAAGGGCTTTACTCCATTTGCGTCATCACAGTCAGCTCTACTTTTAAGAGGCAGCTCTTTCCCAGTTGCATTTTGAGCGCCTTCCAACCTGAGGGGCTCATTTTCTAGCACTGTATCTGATAGTGTTTCTCTGCTATTCATAATATTTTCAGTGACTAAATATTCAGAAGTAGTTCATCACTCCTTCTTCCTAGTTTGTCTTTGTCTCTAGAAGGTCATCTGAAACCTGTCTACTGTGGGTGACCTTGTTGGTATTTAAAATACCCGTGGCAAAGTTACCAGAATCACAGCAACTCACAAGCCACCACAGTACAACAAACTGACACATGAGTGGTGGCACCTAATCACTATACCCTGCCAAAATTGGTCAACATTCAGCCATTTCAAGAGGTAGCATATGATCAAGAATCAATGGTATTGAAGAAAGAAGTCCAAGCCATAGCGAAGGTATTCATGAAAAGCAAGGCTTCTGGAATGGATAGAATACTTAAACAAACTGATTCATCACTTCAGGTGCTCATTCATCTATGCCAAGAAATTTGGTACATAGCTACCTGGGGAATCTATTGAAAGAGATTCAGATTTGTGTCCATTCCAAAGGAAGGTGGCCCAATTAAATGCAGAAATCATCAAACAATATCATTACTATCGTATGCAAGTAAAATGCTACTGAAGATCATTCATAAACAATTGCAGCAGTACATTGACAGGGAGCTGCCAGAAGTTCAAGTCTGATTCAGTAGAGGATGTAGAATGAGGGATATCAATGCTGATGTCAGATGGATCCTGGGTGAAAGCCCAAAAGCCAGAAAGATGCTTAGTTGTGTTTTATTGATTATGCAGAGGCTTTTGACTGTGTGGATCATAACAAACTATGGATAAGATTGTAAAGAATGGGTATTCCAGAACACTTGACTGTGCTCATGAGGAACCTGAACATAGACCAAAAGTCAGCCATTTCAACAGAACTAGGTACTACTTAATGGTGTAACCGGACTATATTCTTACACCATATTCAAGCTGTATGTTGAGCAAATAATCTAAGAAGCTGGAGTCTAATGGGAAAAACACGGCATCAGTATTAGAGGAAGACTTATTAACAACCTGTGATATGCAGATGCTAAAAATGAAGAGGGCTTGAGATACTTATTGATTAAGATCAAATACTACAGCCTTAAGTATGGATTGCACTTCAATGTAAAGAAAATGGATATATTCATAACTGGACCAATAAATAACATCATGAGCAACAGAAAAATTCAAGTTATTAATGACTTCATTTTTCTTCATGCTACAATCAATGTTCCTGGAAGCAGCAATCAAGAAATCAAAAGATGGATTGCATTGGACAAATCTGCAAAGGACCTCTGTAAAGTTTTAAAAAAGCAAAGATATCAGTTTGAGGACTGAGGTATGCTTGACTCAAGCCATGGTATTTTTCAATAGCCTCACAGGCATGTGAAAGTTGGTCAATGAATAAGGAAGACTAGAAGAATAAATGCATTTAAGTTATGGTGTTGGATAAGAATATTGAAAAGTACCAGGTTCTGCCAGCAGAGCAAACAAATCTGTCTTGGAAGAATAGCCAGAATGCTCCTTAAAAGCAAAGATGGCCAGACTCTGTCTCTAGTACTAAGGACACGTTGTTAAGAGGCACTAGTGTCTGAAGAAGGACATCATGTTTGGAAAAGTGGAGGGTCAGTGAAAAAGAGAAAGACCCCCAACAAGATGGACTGACATAGTGTCACCAACAATTGGAATTGGCTCAAAGTTATCAACGATTGTGAGGATGGCGCAGAACTAGGCAGTGTTTCATTCTGTTGAGCTTCGGGTCTCTGTGAGTTGGATTCTAGTTTATGGAAGATTACAACAACAACAGTAAAAGGAACAACAACACTAGTGAGGTATGCATGGTGGTGTTGGCTGTGTGCCGTGGAGTCGGTTCCGACTCATAGCGACCCTGTACAGGGTTTCTGAGGCTGTAAATCTTTACGGGAGCAGAAAGCCTCATCTTTCTCCCATGAAACAGCTGGGAGTTTCGAACTGCTGACCTTGTGGTTCACAGCCCAATTTGTAACTACTGCGCTACCAGAGGTATGCATACCTTAGAAAAATCTATCATTTGAGATACAAAAAACAGTATTTATTCAAGGACAAAGTTCAGAAAGGTTAGGAAAGGAAGGAATGGGAACAGAAAGTAGAGTGAAGTGGGGAAGGTGGCTTGCACTGAGAGGCTCACAATCATGGTGATCAGGCAGACTGTATGAATTGATCCTTGTAAAACTGATGATCTGCTCCAAACCTTCACCCAGTTCACAACAAAAATTAAATTAAAAAAATAAGAAAATCACTACCTCAGTCAATTAAGAAAACAACAGACAAACTGAAGTTGAGGAACAATCTACAAACTACCTGTCAAGGTCCTGAAAATCAAGGAGAGACTGAGAAACTGTCATAAACTCGAGGAGATAAAGGAGACATCACAATAGGCAATGTGGTATAAGGAGCTCTGGTAGCGTAGTGGTTACAAATAGGGCTACTAACCTCAGGGTCAGCAGTTTGAAACTACCAGCTGTTCTGCGGGAGAAAGAAGAGGCTTTCTGCTCCTGTAAAGATTTACAGCCTCAGAAACCCTAGCCATGAGTCATCACTGACTCCACGGCACATAACAACAACAAATTCTGAGACAGGACAAAAATACAAAAACGTTTTTGTGGAAAAACTGGGGAGAAATAAACTGTAGTTTAATTCGTAGTAGTGTATCAATGTTAATTTCTTAGTTTTCAGAAATACACAGTGATTTTGTAGGATGCTAATATTATAAAACAAACAACCACAATAACAAAAGACTAGGCATAAAATGAAAGCAAAGCTTATAATTCTTAGCAGAGTCTTTTGTCTTCGCTTCAGAGAGCCTCAAGAATGAGGTGCTGGATGGACCAGTCTCTTTATGAATCCAATTCACAATAAGCCTCAGGCAAACCCCAGCACCTTTCTAGTACAGAATACCAGCTTCACAAACATTGCTTTTCTGATTTACTCATCAACCAGCTGCCTAAATTCAGAATCCAACTGCAACTAGAGTTCAGGAGGACCTCAGACAGGAAATTCTTTTTCACTTTTCTTTTCCCCTTAAAATTACACAACAGCATTGAGAATCAATGTTTTTACATCTGTAAACTCTTAGATACACTTCTCATCACTCTTCTACCCTCTGATAAGCAAAATAACAAGAATTAGAGAGGCAGAGGAGGAAAAACATGGAAATCCAAACCAAGAAACTTGCCCCACGGCAATACAGATTTGAAGAACACAATACTATTTGTTTTTACAGTGTTGTTTTTTTTTTGCGCCCCCACACTCCTGAGAAAAGTCGTCATCAAATATTGACATGAAATATAATGTTTCAAAGGCACACAGGCTAGTTTCAGGCTTGAAATGAAGGCAGACTTGCTGGCAATGGCGCTTTGGGTGTGTTTAGAGCACAGGACAATCTTTGACTGTGGAAGTGGGCTGGGGAAAAGTTTGCAGACACCCAGCGATGAAGGAGGTATGAGGACAGGACGGGGACTAAGGATAGAGGATAAACACATGCCTCCCACCCTTTGTCCACTCTAAAAATGATTTGATTACCTGAGGTCAACACATTTGATTTTGGAACACAACACACATACCTGATGAATTCCACAGAGTAGTACTGAATCAGGGAGCTTCCTTCGCTTTCTCCAGGTTTCCAAGACAGTGCGACCTCAGAATCAGAAACCACAGTGACATGTGGTTGTTGTGGTGCTGTAGGAGGTAGGCAGGAATCTAGCAGGACAACAAAAACAAGGAAACTTGGCTGATGGTCTCAGTTACTGGAGAGGTTACTTAAAGAACATGTGTACCCTACAACCAAAACATCTCTGTTCAGACAGACTCAAAAAAACCCAATGAAATAAACACAAGAATCCTGAAATAAAGCACCAGGTAAGGTCTGAGTCTATGAACTGGTCATCCCTAATCTTCCCTGACTATCTCTGGCTGAAAAGCCAACTAAGTAAGGAGTGTTCAGATAGTTGGCTCTAGACAAACAATGTTTTGTGTCCTTTAACATTTTCCATAACACTTCCACCTCCTAACAACTTTTAAACTCATCTAATGATCTGAATTATATTTACTGCCTGTTGTGACATGGTAAGATAAGCACTGGACTGCTAACCACAGGGTCAGTGGTTCAAACCCACCAGCTGTTCTCAGAAACCCTATACAGGTCTCTATGAATTGGAACTGACTCAACAACAACATATAAAAAATAGAAGCCCTGGTGGCACAATGGTTAAGTGCTCAACTGCCAACATAAAGATTAGCAGTTCGAACACACTAGCTGTCCCACAGGAGAAAAGATCTCGTGATCTGCTCCCATAAAGCATAAGAAACCTTGTAGGGCAGTTCTTCCCTGCCCTATAAGGCCACTAAGAGTTAGAATCAAGTAGGCAGCACACAACAACCACCCAAGGAAAATTGGAGTCTGTGGGTGGTGCAAACAATGAAATAGTTGGCTACTAGCTGAAAGGTTCGTGGTTCAAATCCATCCAGAGGCACATTAGAACAAACTAGGCCTGATGATCAGCTTCCAAAAGGGCACATCAATGAAAATGCTATGGGGCTGTTCTACTCTGCACACATGAGGTTTCCATGAGTTAGAAGTGACTTCACCAAACTAACAATAAGGAAAATGAAAAGCACAGCACTAAGGAGCTCTGGTAGCGTAGTGGTTACGAATCGGGCTGTGAACCTTAAGGTCAGCGGTTTGAAACTACCAGCCGCTCCGTAGGAGAAAGATGAGGCTTTCTGCTCCCATAAGGATTTATACCCTTGGAAACCCTGTACAGGTTGGCTATTAACAAGAACCACTCCATTGCACATAACAACAACAATGTCATGGATGCTCTTTCTTTTGTGCACCCCTCCCCCTTCTTATAATCAGAATCATGCACACTAATGGAAGGACATTTGGAACACCGCCACATCTGGGAAGATGATCCCATATTACTACCTTACTGCCATTATTACCCTCATTTCCAGACTTTCATATCTTCTGGCTATAGTGTCTCTTTTCTCTTCCAAGCAAATTCTGTGCATCTTTCAAAATCTAGGTCAAAGATACCATTCTTTCTGAGAGTCTCCCTCAGCCTCAGGGTAGGGAGAAGTGCTTCCATCCAAATGCTCCTGATCCCTCAGGGCGACCTCGCATGCACTGGAGTTGACTACCTTCTTGCATTAGCTTCTCCTTTCACATTGAGCTTTCTGCAGTAGATACAACTGATCCACCTCTGTCCACAAAGATGGAGATACCACCTCAAAGAGTTCCTGGTGGGTTCTTTGTTTCTGTGTGTATTTTCTCCCACGCCCCTCTTCATTTCTTAATTCCTATTCTCTCTTCAGCTCTCACCTTGTCATCTCCTTAGGTCTCCCTTTGTCCTTTCTTACATCATGATATGTAAACCCTAATTATAATATGTAACCACACACAAATTAAATCATGTCTAAATCACCCCACTAGGCTCTCAGTTCTGAGAGGGCAGGGGCTGTACTTGTTATTATTCACCACTGAAGTCAGTCTCTGGCACATAGTTGTTGCTGCTGATAGAGGTCATCGTGTGACTTATGGTTACACTATGCACAGTACAGCACTGGTGTGGTGCTGTGGGTTAGTGCGCTGGACTGCAAAGGCAGTTTGAACCACAAGGTCGCTGGTTCAAGCTCACCAGCCACTCCTCAGAAATCCTATACAGAGTCACTATGGGTCAGAACCGATTCAAAGGCACTTAACTACAACAGCATATACAATGAGAGGAAGAACTATCTGGTCCTAAATCAACCCCATGAGTAGACTATTATAATCCATGGGGTTTTCATTGACTTTTAGAAAGTTTAAGTCTTTCTTTCTAGTCCATATTAATCTGGACGCTCCACTGAAACCTAGATAGCATCATAGCAACCCACAAGCTATCACGTGAGGGCTGCGTATGAGGTGTAATGGCTGGAAACTGAACTTAGGTCTCTCGCATGAAAGGTGAAAATTCTACCAGGGAACAACCTCTCCCTCCCAGTGGCACATTGTTGTTCCTCATTAATATCTGCTGAATGAATGCATAGCAACCTGTCACTTTCCAAAAATTATTAATTTTGAACCCATTTTACCTTGGGGCAAAGTGGTAACATGGTGAAGAGAGCTAAGCTGCCCTTTGCCAGTCTGGGTGTACGCTGTCATGCTCACACGATATTCAGTGCCTGGTTTCAAATCTCCAATCACATCCTCCTGTCAATGGACAAACAAAAAGGTACAAATATCATAAGCTCTGGTTGAGCAATCAGGACAGCTGCTGTGAGGGCTGTATCTCAAGAGCTTGGTGAAATTAGTTCAGACAGATTGTTTTGCTTTCTGTATAGAGTTGCTGTTATTGTTGTTGTTAGGTGCCATCAAGTTGGTATTGACTCATAGCGACCTTATGCACAGCACAACGGAACCCTGCCCAATCCTGGGCCAACCTCACTACTGTTGCCACGCTTGGGTCCATCAATGCTGCCACGTGGTTAATCCATCTCGTTGGGGGCCTTCCTCGTTTTCTATGACCCTCCACCTTACCAAGCATGATATCCTTCTCCAATGACTGGTCCCTCCTGACCATATGTCCAAAGTATGAGAGACAAAGTTTGGCCATCTTGGCCTCCAAGGAGCACTCTGGCTGCACTTCTTCCAAAACTGATCTATTGGTTTTTTTGACAGCCCATGGCACTTTCAATATTCTCCTCCAGCACCATAACTCAAAGGCATCAATTCTTCTACATTCTTTCTTATTCACTGCCCAACTTTCGCATGGATATGAGGTTATTGAAAATACCATGGCTTGGGTCAGGAGCACTTTAGTCCTCAAGCTGACATCCTTGCTTTTCAACACTTTAAAAAGGTCTTGTGCAGCAGATTTGTCTAATGCAATACATCATTTGATTTATTGACTGCTGCGTCCATGAGTATTGATGGATAGAGTTGGCCCCATTTAAAATATTTGTAAAGATGAAAACACGATGCCTTTCCCAAGGCTAGAGGATTACTTTTCACTGAAATCTATAGACTGTTCTAGAACAAGGACTCACTCACACTATCAAATGATGCTTGTAACAGCTGAAGGCTTGACTCCGAGTCGTAGGTTGCTGAGATGCAGGAGTAATCCTATCCAGGGTTGGAATCTCCCAGTCATTCATTTCATTCCATTTATACATCACACAGTTCAAGGGCTAGGCCCAACAGGAGATGGAGACCTTGATTTGTACCGACAGTAGGAACCCAATCGGAGGTTCTCAAACTTTAGTGGACATCAGAATCACCTGAAAGGCTTGAGAAAAAAGATTGCTAGGTTCTATCCCTAGGGTTTCTGGAATTTGGACTTCTAACAAGTTTTCAGGTGTTGCTATTGCTAATGGAGGGACCATACTTTGAGAGCGACAAGGATCAATAATGGATGTGTGTGAACTCCTCATGTAATAATGGCCCTGACCAGAATGGACATAGGTCCAGCTGAAAGGATTCTCTTCATCTTGGCTTTGGTAACAATAAGGCTTCCCTGATGCTACTGTGCTAAATATCAGTTGAAACCAGAGTCCCACGGGTAAGAAGCAGTAGCAAATTGTAGAGGATGTGGCATTGGCATTGAAGTCAAACAGGCCTGGGCTTGAATCCTGATTTTGCCATTTATTAGCTGTGGGCTTGATAGTGAACTTCCCTGTGTTTTTTCCTGATAAATGGAAAAAAATTTACATAACGTTTCTGCATGATGATAGTGTTTGGGATAATGTGTGTAAAGTAGCTGGCATAGTGTGTACTCAAGAAATGGAGTTGTCATGATTACTGTCTTGGTTACATGGGAAACTTCTTTTCTGTTTACTTAGTGTTATAAATTGAGTTGCGTCACCTCAAAATAATGTGTTATATGTAATCCTAACCCTTTTACTTGAAAATATGATCCCATTTGGAAATAGGAGTTTTTCATTTATTATGGTATTAAGGCCATACCAGTTTGGGGTGGATTCTAAACTGAATCACTTCTGAGGTATAATAAGACGAGAAGAGACAGAGACACACATGGGGGAAGCATATGAAGACAGACATACGTGATAGATCCATAAATCTCAAGCCTAGAAACTCTTCAGGTTACTAGCTACTAGAAGCTGAATTATGGTGTTAGCAAAGAACATTACAAGTATCTTCATCAACCAAAGAACAGCTAGAATGGCCCTTAGACGTGAGAATAGTGACACTTCAGTTCTCTACTTTGGACATGTTATCAGGAAGGGCCCGTGCCTGGTGAAATCCATCCTGCTTGGTACAGTGGAGGGTCAGAGAAAAAGAGGAAGGCCCTCAATGAGATCCACTGGCACAGTGGTAGCAGCAGTGGGCTCAAACATAACAATAATTGTCAGGGTGGTACAGGACTGGGAAGTGGTGCATGCTGTTTACATACGGTTGCTCTGAGTTGGAACCAACTCAATGGTACCTAACAACAAGAAATAGCTGAAATAGGAAAAATAAATGAATAAAAAGGACCTCCTCTAGAGCTATGCCCTGAACTCAGACTTCAAGCATCCTGAACTTTTAGAAAATAAGTTTCTGTTCTTTAAAGTCAGTCCCCTTATGGTATTTGTTTTATAGCATCAGTTAGCTAAGATGCCTAGGTTCTTCCTACTCCTCTGATGCACATGTTCATCTTCCCTGTGATGCCTTCCCTGACTGCCCTAGCCCAGTGATCTTACCCCACTAACTGCTGAGGTTTCTAATGTAGCATTTGATAAATATTATGAATTATTATTATTTCTGCTACAGAACTATAAACCACTTGAAGGCAGGGATCGTGTCTTTTATTTCTTCCTATCCTAGGCTAGGTAATTGGAAACCATGACTCAGCTCTTCTGTAATCTCCTTCTACTTATCCAGTTGCTCCTCTTCGCTATCTTCTATCTCTCTCATCTTACCTCTTGGCTTTCCCAAGGCATAATCCCTCACCATCTTCTTTTTTCACTTTATAGAGTTTTGCTTGGGTAAGCTCACATATGTTGTTGTTGTTGTTAGGTGCCATTGAGTCAGTACTGACCCATAGCGACCCTATGCACAGCACAACGAAATTGGCCCAATCCTGGGCCAACCTCATTACTGTTCCCACGATTAAGTCCATCGATGCTGCCACTTGGCCAATCCATCTCATTGGGGGTCTTCCTCTTTTTCTCTGACCCTCCACATTATCAAATATGGTATCTTTCTCCAGTGACTGGTCCCTCCTGACAATATGTCTTAAGTATGAGAGACGAAGTTTGGTCATCTTGGCCTCCAAGGAGCAATCTGGCTGCACTTCTTCCAAAATGGATCTATTAGTTCTTTTGGCAGCCCATGGCACTTTCAATATT